GAGTCCTGGTGTGGCACTATAGGGTAAGAGCTGGGTCACAAAGTTGGTTTGAACCGCAAGGGCAGGAGTTTAAACCCACCGGTCGCTCCTTAGAAACCCTATACACTGTCGGTTGCTATGAGTTGGAACCAACTTCATGACACTTAACAGCAACAATGACAACATATCAGTAACTGAATGGAAACCTTTTTAAAATTGTTTCTTCTTCTTTTCCTTTAATTACTACCCCATTCTCAAAAATAGAGTTATTCATGTAGATTTGAAAACAGTCATGATCACAATATTGTAGTGAAAACACCAGAAAAGTGGAGCAAGCCAGTGACTCTAAAAACATCCGCAGCAATTAAAACAACAGCGTGCGCTTACTGCATATACAGACAAGATCCGTGATAGGAAGCATCAATGTTGCTACAAAGTGCATGGAGTTGACCTAGCAATCCAGTGTTTTATCCCACCGTGTCCGTACTCGGCTAATAAAGACAGCCTGGCTAGAGCACATTGTTGGTGTCAAGGCCTTACCTGACTTAGTTACATAGAGATCCTGACTAGGGCTTCCCAGGCTGTTGTTAGGTTGTTGTTAAGTGCCATGGAGTCAGTTCCAACTCATAACGACCGTGGCTATAAATCTTTATGGAAGCAGAAAGCTTCATTGTCTTCCTCAGAGTGGCTGGTGGGCTCAAACCACCGACCTTGTGGTTTGAAGTCTAGTGCTCATCCTTCAGACCAACTTCACTCCCTCTCAAGGTGTTGTTGACAGTCCTATATCAGGTTTCCAAGGAGCAGCTGGTAGGTTTGAATCACCAAACTTGCAGTTAGCAGTCCAGTGCTTAACCTAAGGCGCCACACCAGGACTCTGGTGTTGTTAAGTGCCGCTGAGTTGTTTCCAACTCATAGTGACCCTGTATAGGGTTTCCAAGGAGCAGCTGGTGGGTTTGAACCACCGACTTTATGGTTAGCAGCCCAGTGTTTATCCTACAGCCCCCCAGACTCCATTAGAAAGTTCAAAGAGTAAATGAGCACAGAATTTTAATCTTGTGGTGTATTAATCCATGTGACTTGAGTTGACCAAAAATGTGTCTGTCATAACTCACTACAGGGACATTTCTGTGGGGTTTGTTTTTTTTTATGTTTTCTGTTGAAACACTAAACAAACTTGTTAAAAGGCAGCGTCTCTGCTCTCCCCTTCACGCAGTGATCCCAGGACCAGGCAAGGGAGTCAGAGCCCCCGCGTCCCACCCTAGATCACAGGCCTGGGGGGCAACCAGGTCACCGAGAGAACACAGATGTGGCCCCTTCCCGGGCGACTGGCGGCCACCTGCCTGAAGAGTGCGCTGTCTGCTTGGACAAGTCCAGCTCGCGCTGTTTTCAGCCCGGAAGGAAGTTCTGCGCGGGGCTGGGAGGCGGGAGGTGGCCGAGAGGGAAGAAGTTTTCATTACAGCGAAAGGAAACCCAGGCAGATTACGGGCTGGCCGGGACAGATCGGTGTCAACAGGCCCAGATCAGAAGATGCTCGGCCGCGGAGCCGACAGAGGAGGGCACTGGGTTGGTGGGGGATGCTGGCTCCCTCGGCTCGGCCCCCACTTTAGATCCCGCACTTGGAGCCCCTAAGCCTGGACCCCAGCCTCCAGGCCCCTGGCTCAGAACCCCCACCCTGGATTCCGCGCCCGCTCCCGGCACTCGGACCCCCGTCCCGGACCCTGCGCCCCTACCGTGGCGTTGGAACAGCTGAGCAAGCTGACAACCAGCAGGAAGACCCAACGGCGCTTGTACACGCGGTAGCCCCTCCGCGCGTTCAGGGCCTGGGTCGGTGAGACCACCGGTCGGTCCCCCGCCGTCTCAGGACCGTCCACCATCGTCCGTGCCATCGGGCCGCACCCAGGGCCAGTCGCGCTGGCTTAAGGATCCCGGCGCCTGGGCTCGGACCGCCCCTGGAGGTGGGGCCGGGCACTGGGTGTTGGTCTGCCCCAAGAACAGGGTAGGCAGGAGTGGGGAGCTAGACCTCTGGGGCCACTTAATTCCAGATGTGAAGGAGACATGTCTGTGAAGTCGGATCCTCTTCTATTGACTTCATATGTTTGGGGTGGATTTGCAGAGGGACGGGGGCAGCGGTTTGGATGAAAGTCCCTGGTTCAAACACAAACCATACACTGGCTCCTTCTCCCACCCCTGTACTGAAGGCATTCAGGCCTACTGACCTCTTGGCTTCCCACAGTAGGCGTGTCCACATGATAGAGCAGGAGTGGGGGTCTCTGTGAGGCCCCACAGGTTAGCGCTTCACCTGCTGGGACTTCAGTCCTAGGTCACTCTGCTCTGGGTCCCCATCCCACTTCACCACCAAGCTGGGCAGTACCCCAAAATTCCTGTCAGGTCACTGGGAGTGACCAGAGCCTGAAGGAGGAGGCGGCTGGAGTTAGGTCTGCCAAGATCCTTGGATTCCAGACCGGCCTTGATCTGCCTACGTGGACAGGAAGAGAGAATTAGGGAGCAGGTGGTCCCAGAGAGCAGGTGGTGCTGGCAGGAGAAGAGGAGGAGGAAGGCCAGTGTGGGGGAGGAAGGTCAGAGCCATTGCCTCTGAGCAGAGGTCCTGGCTGGCTCCTTCCAACATCACCTGTAGAGTTGTTATCTGCCTTTGAAGGCAAAGGAAACAGCTGGGTGGAGCTGCGGAGGAATTTGTTAGGGATGGAGAGGCCTTTGTTTGTTTAGGAGGAAAAGACTCTTGTTTGTTTCCGAGTCTTCATTAGGTGCCCTCAAGTTGGTTCCAACTCTCAGCGACCCCATGCATAACAGAAAGAAATGTTTGAGTCCCTAGCTGCAGTCATTGTGTCTATTTCGTTGGGGAGATTTCTCTTTTTCGCTAACCCTCTACTCCGCCAAGCATGAAGTCCTTTTCCAGGGACTGGTCCCTCCTGATAGCATGTCCTAAGTACGTGATACTGTTACAGCAGCTTTAGATTTGAGAGTGTCACAGCAGCCCTGGGCCCGAGAGTGTCACAGAAGACTTGATCCATCACCAAAGAAACTGAGGACACTCAGAGAGGTGAAGCAGAGTTTCAGATTTTATTATTATTGGCACAGAGAAGCTAGCTTCTCCAGATTCTGGGCACCGAATGCTGGGCAATGTAGACTTATATGGGGTCAAAAGTGGGAAGGAGTTAGGTTGTGGACCTGTTTGAAGACAGGAGGGAAACCAGAGGATTGGTTCCATTCAGTAACCTGATTAATATGTTAGCTTGATTCCTGGGCAGAGAGGATTGGTCCCACTCAGTAACCTGATTAACATTTTAGCTTGACTCCTGGGTGGAAGGCAGTGAATGTTTTTACCTTTTCCTGTTCAAGATGAAGTCTCTCACCATCCTGGCTTCTAAGGAGAAATTTGACCATACTTCTTCCAACATAGATTTGTTCATTCTTCTGGCAGTCCATGGTATAGTCAATATTTGGTCCAGTAACGAAGAGAGAACACTTCTGGTATGGCTCTGTAGGGTAAGCACTGTATTGCAAACCACAAGGTCAGCGGTTCAAACCCACCAGATTTCCTTGTAAACCCTATACAGGGTCCCTGTGAGTTGGGACAGACTTGAAAGCACTCAACAACAACAACAACAACAACAAAGAGTGAAAAGGAACCCTGGTGGGACAGTAGGTTAAGCACACTTGAGCTGCTAACTGAAAAATCAGTGGTTCAAAACCACGAGCCACCCCTTGTGAGTGAGATGTGGCAATCAGCTTCTATAAAGATTTACAGCCTCAGAACCTTTACAGAGCAATTCTATCTGTCCTTTAGCGGGGATATGAATCTGGCACAACTTGGCAGCAGTAGGTTTGGTGTTTGGTTTTAACAACGGAAAAATGGAGCTCTCTGTTTCTGGGGATGCCCCAGCACATAGTACACCGTTCACTGAGACCACAATTCTCCCCGTCTTCCTCTTTGTCCCTTGCCCCCAGCCCACCCTTTATGCAGCCCCATGTCCTGCTTATCCTCCACTGTCTGCCTGCCCTGCCATTAGTCTGGGGTCCCCACATCCCCTGGGATAGGATTCAATGATGGTGGTCACTAGCTTCTTCAGCCCTGCTGCTCACCCACAGGATGTACCAGAGTGCCAATTTTTGCAGAGAGCCCACTGTGTACCAGGGCTGGGCTGGGCGCCCTCAACCACACAGTCTCAAAGCTGCTGTCTGACGGTCCCAGAGCTGTAGGACAGACTGGGGATAAGTGACAATACAGCAAACACAAGAGCACAGCAGGTGGGTAGGGTACAATGAGAGCTTTAGAGTGACAGAGGGGTTGGGGTGTTGTTGCTTTTGTTAAGTGCCGTCATAAAGTCAGTTCTGAATTGACTCATTGCAACCCTGAGGAATGACCGGTGGATTTGAACCGCCACCTTAAGGTTCAAACCGACCTTGTGGTCTAGAGCTTATCCTTCAGAGCCACACCAGGAGCTGTTTTTAGTCCTCTCACCTGGAGTCCTTTGGGTTCCTCAGTATCCCTGAAGCCCACCCACATCCCACATCACCAGTTCTGATGCCCACAGGCCCTCATCATTTCTTTTCCATCCTCAGGGGATCAGCTTTCCTAGAGATCCATCTCCTTTCCCTCAGTCAGCATTTCTCCTTTCAGAAAGTCTTTCCTTCCAGTCAGACTGCTGACCACCCTGACCACAAGGCTGTCACTCAGTCAACAAACATGCATCAAGTCCTTCTATGTGCCAGGTGGGGCCCACTAGGCAGAGATGACTGGCCCAGAGTGGACTCCCTCAAGAGCTCAGTATGAGTTCAGAAGCCAGGCTGGTCCCTAGCCTTCCATGTGCAGCCAGTCACAGAGGTCAACCCTCAGAGCCACCCTGAGGACAGGCTAAGCATCATCCCCATTTTATAGAACAGGACACTGAGGCTCTGTAACTTGTCCAAAGCTCGCCCACAGCTGGGTTCTAGCAAAGGCCAACCAAGGGAACTGCTGCCCACCTTGGCACACCTGCTGGGCCTCTGCAAACTGCACACCCTCAGAACACATGTCTGATCTCCGCCCAGCTGCCCGGTGTCTGCCCACCTGTTGAGTCTCTGTAAACCTGACTGGCTTTCTAATACCTGCCCAGACTCTGCACACCTACCTGTCAGGACAATTCCACAGGGCCTGGCCATCCTGGTCTTACCCGCGTCTCTCACTCACCCTGCTTGTCTGATGCCCCTCTCCTGCAGCTCTGCCCACCGTGACATGGGCACCTGCCTGATTCTCCTGAACTCCCACCCACCTGTCAGTTCTGGCGTGTTCTTCTTCTTGTGCCCACATCTGTCCTCTTCCTCATTCTTGGGGATGTGCATTGCCAGGTTCTGTGGGGCCATCTCGGAGGCACTGAATCCTGAGCACTGCATGGGGCTCATGAATTTGTATTGGTGGACAGTGTGTGAATCAGATGGAGAGCCAGACTTGCCTATCCTCCCGCCATGCGCTGCAGTCCAACTTCAGAGAGCTCCACTCCTGAGCTCTACCATTGTGAATTATCCTTGTGAATTACCTTCCAGAACGCGTCTGTGATCTTCATGGGCTAAGGAGAATTGACATGAGGCTAGACTTTGGACTTTGTTCTGCTTTCTACTTCCCTGTACGGGACTCCTCCCCACTCCTCAGGACCCTATGTTGAGTAGGTGAGTTCAGCAAGCTTGCAGGATCCAAGCTCAACAAACAACCATCTGTCACATTTCCATATGCCAGCAATGATTATGTATCAACACAAATAAAAACACAATCCTGTTGACAATCACTCCACTTCAAACCATAAGGTTGGTGGTTCAAACCCGCCCAGTGCTCCTTGGAAACCCTGTACAGGGACACTTTAAGATGGAATAGACTCAACTGCACTTAACAGCAACAACAACATATAAACTTAGCAAAGCCTACAGAGAACAGTAACCTGACAACTACACAACACCCTTGAAAGAAATCAAAGAGGATCTCAATAAATGTAGACACATACCATGTTCATGGATTGGAATACTCAACATTGGTCTATACATTTCAGGCAATTCTTAACAAAAACTTCTTGTAGACATGTTGTTGTTAAGTGTCATCTGGTTGGTTCCAACTAGCAACCTTACAGGGTTAATATGAGTCAGAATCCATGGCACTTAACAACAACAACAACATAGGGTTTCCAAGGAGCATCTGGTGAGTTTGAACTGCTGACCTAGTATTTAATAGTTCAGGGATTATCTAACAGCACCACACCAGGATGGTGAGAAAATATGTTGTTAGATACTGTCAAGTCAGTTTCAACTCATAGTGACCCTTTGCACAACAGAACAAAATACTGCCCTGCCCTGCACCATCCTCACAATCATTGTTAATCTTGAGCCCATTGCTGCTGCCATTATGCCAGTCCATCTTGTTGAGGACTTTCCTTCTCTTCACTGAAATTTAACTTTACCAAGCATGCTGTTCTTCTCCAGGGATTGGTCCCTGCTGATAATATGTCTGAAGCATGAGAGACGAAGTCTGGCCATCCTGGCTTATAAGGAGCATCCTCCAACACTGTAACCAAAAACCATCAATTCTTCTACGGTCTTCCTTATTCACTGTGCAACTTTCTCATGCATATGACGTTATTGAAAATACCATGACTCGGGGACTTCCGGTATTGCAGGACAGCCAGAAAAGGTAGGGACTTGCTCTGGCAGAAAAAAAAACGAGTGGGATCTCGCAAAGGAAACATTCATAGACCAGTCCCATGGCTTTTGGACTATCATAATCTCTCCTGGGCTCACATTGTTGAGAAACCACGCTAACAAGGAAAAAGAAAAGTGCGTATTTTGGGACTCTTTCCTGTGGGGACCGAGGGGCGCTCCTGCAACAGCAGAG